GGAGAATCCAGAGAAATGGTGGAGAACACTTTGTGAAAATCCTTACGGGGTTGTCATCTTCTCCTCATGCTACTTTTCTGGTTTCATTATGGATCTACCTCAATCAGTGTGAGAAGCACATGGGCACCATGAGGGACCAGGCAGACACTTAGGGGCAGAAGGGCCAGGGAATCCTATTGTGGTCTTTGGGCTTGGCTCTCTCCTAGTTGTCTTTTGTATGTTAAGAACTCCAGGAATGTTGAGCACACATGAAATTCAGAACAGCCTGCATAAATGGTTTTGATAGCCACATAAATATGAAAATACAAATGATTTCAGCAGGAATAAAATTTATTTCTAATACTCAATATTATCTGCTCCTTGAAGCTATGCAAAGACTAATAAGTGCATAAACTTCTTGAGCAGTGTTACATAAATATAAAACATGATTCATAGATATGTTTATGGCTACAGACACATTAATTGATAGTCTACAGAAAGACTTACGTTCCTTTACAAATTAAAAGGGGACACGTGTGCTGTTTCTGCTCATTTGCTGAGTATGCAACTGGAAAACCCAATCTTCTATTCTGGGATTTAAAATCTGGTACTTTCAGCAAATAACATCATCAATATTTTAAAGTCATACTGGCTTCTGGTAAGTAGCAGAGGAATTGCCGTCCCTCCTTAAATCCTTCTCTGAGGCACCCTTCTCTCTGTGATGCCCCACAACATTAACTCTTCTCCTTTGAGAGCAGGTGTGCATGCCAAGAGCAGAAATTCCTAGGGAAGCTTTTGTAAGTCCAGATCCCACCCTGCCGTCCCCTCCAGGCCTTGATTTTAGCATCAATCCAAAACTTTTTTGGATTTTTGTGGACTCTGCTTAACTTTGATGTAGAATGTCTGTAGATTCTTGTCCACTGTCTAAAACAGAGTTGATCAAGAATGGCTTCTGCCCTTCAGAAGGGCCATTTTCACAGTATCACAGGCAGGAGACTCTACGCCCCTAAGCAGATCTTAGGCCTTTAAGGCCATCAGAGATGTACAGTTAGTTTGGATCAGACTTCGGTTCCTAAAACACCCTGGAGTTAATTATCCAGAAGGGCAGTAGGGCTTGCAGAACCCTAAAGAGGCAGAAAACCCTCTATTCCCCCATGGAAACTTTAATCCTTTCAGGTGAGTTTTGTTTCTGTTGGAAATCCAAGACTTTGCAAACAGGATAAGACCTTCTAAAGTCACAGGTTGAATATAATGAGTGCAGGACTTAGGATACTTAGGCAGGGGGGAGAATTGGCCTTAGTATTTCCTTTCATTAGCGTCTCTATAGGTAATGATTTCCTTACTTAACCAAAGAAAAGCAATGGAAGCGGCTACCCCTCACCTATTAAAAGGAGAAAGATGGATACCTTTAATTGAAAGCAAAGCATCACAAAATTCTTTAATTATAAGCTCAAATGGGGCTTTGAGCTCATCTTGTATCTTCTTGGCTTTCAGCAGGATAGCATTAAGCTTTCCTAAAAAGATAAGACTCAATCTATTTTAAAACATATCCAAAGACGGCATTCCAGTTTCTGTTCCTTTGTTACGGTACTTTTTTCCCTTTCTAACCTCACCACAGGTGAACTTTTCCTGTTGCTAACCTGAAGTCTTCACATTAGAGCTTGGCTCAGTTTGCTCAGCAGAGCTGGTGGATAGCTGGTCACCATCAGCCTTTTCTAAACTGTACTTCCATCTGTCCATCTGTACAAAATTATAACAATTAATTAGGATATTTGGATTTAAATCAATAAATTTGAACCCAGATGCCAACTGAATGACTCACTGACATGGCAAAAGACTGCCTCCCTTCTTTTTGTCATAGTTTTTCTTATCTCTGCCATCAGCTCCAATGCTAACATCTCTCCCTTTTCCATCTCTCTTGCAAAACTCCCCACACAAGTTCATTCACACACAGGCACACACAAATGTGCACATTTATACTGGTAAATAGAAAAACATCCCTGAAGCAGCTAGTTAACACTTACACCTTACCCCTCACTATTCACATTGAGGGGTAAGAGTTCAGGGTCCAGACTCTGGAACCCATTGTCTGGGCCTAAATCCTGGCTCTGGGACCTTGGAAACATTTTGTAATCTCACTTTGTAAGCATTTTCTCATCTGTAGAATGGAAACAATAATAGTACCTACCTTAGAGGGTTGTGGAAATGATTAATGAGTTAATACATAAAAGCTCTTTGAATGCAGTCTGGTACTCTAATACTAAAGACTATATAGTTGTTAGCTATTGTTACACCCTTCTTGCAGCAAAGGGATATTCAGAGGCATCAAACTATGCCCAATATTCCAGAAGCCAAGAGTTTGAGAAAGAACAGGAGTGGGATTCAAGTTTAAGGGAAGTGGGGGTAAGCAAGAAGAGTCGCCAGGGTGAAAGATCAAAGAAAAATAGGGCAAAAAGCAAACAGGAGATTAACAAAACTACAGAGAAAGGGCAAAAGCTGGCATTAACCGGGAAAAGGTAGACAGAGAACATAAGGGAAAGGAAGATAAAGAAGAAACGAAAATGGGAAACATGAGTAAAAGGTGAGTACGTAAAGGAAAGACAGCAAAGAAGAGGAAAAGGGGGCGGAGAACAACAAAGGAGATCAAAAATGGGAAAAGACGGCATTTGCAGTTCGAGTCGGTATCGCGGGAAAAGGGTATGGAAGTAGGGAAGCTTGCGGCAGAAGGGATGGGGGAAAGAGGAGATTCAAAGAGATAACAGATAAAAGTTTCATTTGTCATTTGCAGCATTTTGTCCCTTTAAATTATGGCGCGCTGCAAGCTTACTTAACTCACCCTTGAGCCTCAAGGCTCCTGATCATGTTCCTTCTATTCCAACTTGCATTTAATCTCTGCCCCAGACTTAGCTTCTAAGGTTTGCCCTGGTCAGATGTCTGCCTTGTGTTTTTAGCCCAACAAGGCCAAAATGCAGTGATCTTGTCTTTATTTCATTTTCCCTAACCAGTCATCCTTTTCAAGTGAAATTTAGCTCTGGAGCAAATGTTTGCATCCCCTTTCTACTCCAAACATTCGGAAATCTAGAAGGGGAACTGGTGTTTTAATTTTTAAATTATTCACCTAACGGCATTCCCATTTTTAGTCAATTAAAAAGAGGTAAAAATGATACAGTACTGCAAGAATAGGTCGCTTTTAGGTCTCCAACGTGCCCTCACCATTAAAGGGTCTTAATTACCTAACCTTTTGGAAATAGGACAGAGGTCGGACGGAGGTTTAAAATAAAGTCGGCATTTTAAAAATACTTTTTAAATTAAGAACCATCGTGATTAAATTGCCTGTTTGGTGCAAAATACGTCCCCCTATTTGAGGAACTCCAGAGACCTTAAAAGGCCCTCTAAACAGATGAACCGAACGGACCGCGAGCGTCTCCTCACGCCGGGGTGATCCTGGGCCGCCGCCGCCGCCCGAGTCACGAAGCCAGACGCAGTGCGCGTCTCCGCCCAGGACTCCGGAGACTGCAGCAGCGCGAGCGGCCGCCGCGGCCTGGGCTGCTCCTGGAGTCGGGGAGGAGACGCGACTCCCGCAGACACGTGACCTCCTCCCAGCCGCCGCTTCCCGCGACCCAGATCCGTCCCCGGAACCCGTGCCCGGCGGGGCGGGCTGGGGGACACGTAGCTGGCGCCCCAGTCCCTGCTGCGCCCTGGTGCGTGTGCCTTCGGCGTTCTCCCCTCGGTTCACTTATCACTGCCAATAATCAGTGTTTCGGAGATCACCCCGGGAAGAATGTAAATATCCCTCTCGGTGCAGGAAAGACCTTGGTTTTATCTCTATGCTTTTATGTGTATCTAGAAAAATATATATATTCCCTCCATCCCACCCCTGGGAGTCCCTCAAGACATGCTTTCCCCTGGACTCGCAGGGCGGCGTGGGCAGTGCGCATCCCCGGGCACCTCCCGGTAACTCTCACTAGCAGTGAGTCAGGCTCCCGGGGTGGCTCTGGGGAAAGGTAACTCGGCTCTTGCTGGCCTGTGCTTCCCAGCGCCGAGCGCCGCGGCTGCAGGGCGAGCGCGCGCGCGCACGGGTTCCCCGAGCAGTGATGTGGCAGCAGCGGCAGGTCGGATCACGTTGCTGGCCCTGTGCTGGTACCCGTTTGAGACAGGATTAAGGAGGGAGGCTTTGGAGGTGCCAGCGGTAGTAAACGTGGGCTCTGCACACTCCGGGCGTCTCTTATCGCGCGGGGGGACGGGGGGATGGGGAAAGCACGTAGCGTCACCGGAGGCTCGGAACGCGGCGGAGTTGAGCGGGCGGGTGATAAATGCTGCATAGCTTTCCTGTGATAGCCCCTCTCGTGCCACCCCCTTCTCCCTCCCCAGCCCCCACTCAACCCCGGCTCGCTCCCCGCCGCGTTCCTCCAGGAGCACACGCGGCTCCAAACGTCGTCATCTGCTGCTGTGATTAGTGGCACCGCAATTCCGGCTGCTGCGGGGAAGTTTAGGTGGCCCAGGAACGCCGTGTCACCGAAAGACACTTGGATTGCGACATTCGGACCCGGTGACAACGTTTTCAAGTGTCTTAAATCCTTCAAGGAGCAGATTGCAAGTTGCTTCTTCTCGAGGCAACCTCTCCGCCCCACTGATCAGTGAGCAAACAAGTCTCCAAAATTTCCTTTGGGACTCAAGTTTACCCACCGCGAATTCTCTTTTTCTTTCCTTTTTATGGTTCAAACCAACAGCACAGTCGGTGGAAAAGCAAAAAGCCACGTTCACATTCCTGCACCGTAATAACGGACGAACCCAGGGAGTCGCATTTCCGAGCCAAGGAAGCTCAGGCTGCCGCGCACCCCCGCACCCCCACTTCCCCCTCCCCCTGCCGACTCCGTCGCCTTTGGGAAGATGAATAGCTTGGCCGAAGTTGTTTTTCCTTTCCGGTGGCCCTGATCAGGTGTCCCCGCCCCCTCCTGCCGTTCGCCTTCTCTCGCCGCCTTCTCCCGACGCCCCCTCCCGGCCCGGCCCCTCCTCCCCCGCCCCCCTCCGGGCTGGACCGCGGATGGTACGTTCCGCACGTGAGCTGGGTGCTGGTCTGGCCGGCGACGCGCGTGCCCTGTGGCCAAACACTGCCTGGAGTGAGAGCAAACTACCAGCGCAGTGGGGCCGGCGCGAGTGTGCGTGTGTGTGCGTGTGTGTGTGCGAGCGCGGTGGAGGGGGGACCAACTGCTTCACACTTTCAACACTGCACTGAAGAGGGAGAGCGAGAGAGAGAGACTGGAGACGCACAGATCCCCCCAAGATCTCCCAAGCCTACCGTCCCACAGATTATTGTACAGAGCCCCAAAAATCGAAACAGAGGAAACGAACAGCAGTTGAACATGGACGAAGGAATTCCTCATTTGCAAGAGAGACAGTTACTGGAACATAGAGATTTTATAGGGTAAGGTGCACGCACCCTTGCGACTATCTGTCTAGGCTTTGGTTTGATTTTTCTCTTCTCCAGAAAGTGGTATGGAGCTGGCGAGGGCAGAGCCCCTCCCCGAATGGGTGCCTGATGCTGATTTCTGTTTTGCAGACTGGATTATTCCTCTTTGTATATGTGTAAACCCAAAAGGAGCATGAAACGAGACGATACCAAGGTAAGTGTAAGTTCTCGATATTCCTCATAACCTGCATGGGTAGTTAATTAGGGCCATTGATTTCACAGCCAAGCTCTGCCTGCAAATATATTCCAGCCCCTGAGCTTCCCCAACTGTGAATTTTAAGTGGCTTGCTGGGTACTCTCAAGGGGATATTAAACATCATACCTGAATTTAAATTGCATTGCAGAACAGTCCAGAGGAAAGAGGTTTCTTGGGTGTAGTTTATCACATAGTATGTTTTATGGTGGTGGGGGGCGGGGAGGGACAGAGGAGGGTAATATCCAATAAATGAATGTTTCGCTTACTGTTTTCTCTTTTCCATGACTCTCATATATTAAGGATACCTACAAATTACCGCACAGATTAATAGAAAAGAAAAGAAGAGACCGAATTAATGAATGCATTGCTCAGCTGAAAGATTTACTGCCTGAACATCTGAAATTGACAGTAAGATGCACGTTTTCATTCTTTGCTGCTCTCCAAGGGCGTTTTAATAGTCTGGTGCGACTCCCAGAAAATATAAGAATAAATGTAAATATAAGTTCCTGATTTACAACTTGTGCTATACCGTACAGAGTTTCCCGCAAACTGAGTCGGTGCTCCCAGCTGAAGGCAAGAAATCATTTATAACCTGTCTTGTGGAAAGCTCAAGAAGTATAAGAATAGTACTTCTTTCAAAGTGTTTGCTTAAATTGCTGTGCTGAATGGACAGCCAATTAAGCCAAATGTGTGTTTTTTAAGTAACCAAGTGCCCCTTTCTTTTTTGCACTACTGCAGACTCTGGGGCATCTGGAGAAAGCCGTAGTCTTGGAATTAACTCTGAAACACCTAAAAGCTTTAACCGCCTTAACCGAGCAACAGCATCAGAAGATAATTGCTTTACAGAATGGTAAGTCAGTTCAGAGAGGCCAACCTACCCTGATGAAGCGGGGCAGCCCACAGGGGAGCAGTGTCAGGACTCCTTCACCTGCACCCCACCTCTTTCGGTGGGCTCATGGGTTCCCTCTCATTTGTTAAATTGCTTTATACTTTCCCTTCATTGGAACGAGCCCATTTCCCGAAGCATCCTAGAGGCTTTCAGCAGAACTCGGAGGAATCAGGTTTTAAAGTGGCGGTTGCACCCGCTCCACTTTGGTTTTCAGCTGGGAGGAGAGCGCCCTCTCCCAGCTCCGCACCTCCGCCACCCCCCTTCTCTCAGCAACCGGTGGATTATATCACTTGAATACTGGGGAAAAACCGAGATCACTTTAGTCGATGCAGGACCCACGTGATAAGCAGATGTTTTAACGTGGGTATGTTTCTTCTTGCCTCCACTCCTCCGTCCCCCACCCCCCATCCCTTCCTCATCCTAGGGGAGCGATCTCTGAAATCGCCCATTCAGTCCGACTTGGATGCGTTCCACTCGGGATTTCAAACATGCGCCAAAGAAGTCTTGCAATACCTCTCCCGGTTTGAGAGCTGGACACCCAGGGAGCCGCGGTGTGTCCAGCTGATCAACCACTTGCACGCCGTGGCCACCCAGTTCTTGCCCACCCCGCAGCTGTTGACTCAACAGGTCCCTCTGAGCAAAGGCACCGGCGCTCCCTCGGCCGCCGGGTCCGCGGCCGCCCCCTGCCTGGAGCGCGCGGGGCAGAAGCTGGAGCCCCTCGCCTACTGCGTGCCGGTCATCCAGCGGACTCAGCCCAGCGCCGAGCTCGCCGCCGAGAACGACACGGACACCGACAGCGGCTACGGCGGCGAAGCCGAGGCCCGGCCGGACCGCGAGAAAGGCAAAGGCGCGGGGGCGAGCCGCGTCACCATCAAGCAGGAGCCTCCCGGGGAGGACTTGCCGGCGCCCAAGAGGATGAAGCTGGATTCCCGCGGCGGCGGCAGCGGCGGCGGCCCGGGGGGCGGCGCGGCGGCGGCGGCAGCTGCGCTCCTGGGGCCCGACCCTGCTGCCGCGGCCGCGCTGCTGAGACCCGACGCCGCCCTGCTCAGCTCGCTGGTGGCGTTCGGCGGAGGCGGGGGCGCGCCCTTCCCGCAGCCCGCGGCCGCCGCGGCCCCCTTCTGCCTGCCCTTCTGCTTCCTCTCGCCTTCTGCAGCCGCCGCCTACGTGCAGCCCTTCCTGGACAAGAGCGGCCTGGAGAAGTATCTGTACCCGGCGGCGGCCGCCGCCCCGTTCCCACTGCTATACCCCGGCATCCCTGCCCCGGCCGCAGCCGCGGCCGCCGCCGCCGCCGCTGCCGCCGCCGCCGCCGCCTTCCCCTGCCTGTCCTCGGTGTTGTCGCCCCCTCCCGAGAAGGCGGGCGCCGCCGCCGCGACCCTCCTGCCGCACGAGGTGGCGCCCCTTGGGGCGCCGCACCCACAACACCCGCACGGCCGCACCCACCTGCCCTTCGCCGGCCCCCGCGAGCCGGGGAACCCGGAGAGCTCTGCTCAGGAAGATCCCTCGCAGCCAGGAAAGGAAGCACCCTGAATCCTTGCGTCTCAAAGGACGGAGGTTCAAGCGGAGTGAGAAGTTAAAACACCCTTAACGTCTTTAAGGGAGGAAGTGTAATAGATGCACGACAGGCATAAACAAGAACAACAAAACAGGTGTTATGTGTACATTTGGAGTTCCTGTTTTGCTCATCCCTCACCACCCCACCCTCCACACACTAACATCCCTTTCTTCCCCCCACCAGCTGTAAAAGATCCTCTGCGAAAGATATATATATATATATATTTTAATAATCCCCCAAATAAGTTTTGTCCCCTTTTAGGCCATGTTCCATTATCTCTTAAAATTGGAACCTAATTCGAGAGGAAGTCAGAAGGGTCTGTTCTATGGGTAAGCTAGGTGAACCCCGGGGTAGGGGAAGCATGTTAACACCTTTGACGTCTTTGACTGAAGTTGACATGGAGCAGCAGATAGTTGTTATGTAGAGGTAGTTCTCAAAGCTGCCCTGCCTGTTTTAGGAGACTTTCCACAAACAGATTGAGGATCTTTTAGAATTGAATTTACTCTTCAGTATTTTCTAATGTTCAGCTTTCTAAAAGGCATCTATTTTTCAAAGAAGTGAGGATGCAGTTGCTCACGTTGCAACTTATTCTGAAGTGGTTTAAATGGTATCTCTTAGTAACTTGCACTTGTTAAAGAAACACGGAGCTGGGCCATCGTCAGAACTAAGTCAGGGAAGGTGATGGATGAGAAGGCCAGAATCATTCCTAGTACATTTGCTAACACTTTATTGAGAAATTGACCATGAATCAATGGACTCACCTTAATTTCTTTATCTATCTATACAAATTTCTGTTTATCCATAGATAGGTATCTATACATACACATCTCGAGTGCATCTATTCCCACTCTCATTAATCCATCATGTTCCTAAATTTTTGTAATCTTACTGTAAAAAAGTGCACTGAACTTAAAAACAAAACAAAACAAAAGTCCAAACTGATATATCCTATATTCTGCTAAACGACAAAAGTGAACGAAAGCATTTAACTGGTCAATTTTGATTGGAAATGCTGTAAAGATATGGAATGAAGTCCTGTGAGGCCTTCCTATCTCCAAGTCTATGTATTTTCTGGAGACCAAACCAGATACCAGATAATCACAAAGAAAGCTTTTTTAATAAGGCTTAAACCAAGACCTTGTCTAGATATTTTTAGTTTGTTGCCAAGGTAGCACTGTGAGAAATCTCACTTGGATGTTATGTAAGGGGTGAGACACAACAGTCTGACTATGAGTGAGGAAAATATCTGGGTCTTCTCGTCAGTTTGGTGCATTTGCTGCTGCTGTTGCTACTGTTTGCCTCAAACGCTGTGTTTAAACAACGTTAAACTCTTAGCCTACAAGGTGGCTCTTATGTACATAGTTGTTAATACATCCAATTAATGATGTCTGACATGCTATTTTTGTAGGGAGAAAATATGTGCTAATGATATTTTGAGTTAAAATATCTTTTGGGGAGGATTTGCTGAAAAGTTGCACTTTTGTTACAACGCTTATGCTTGGTACAAGCTTATGCTGTCTTAAATTATTTTAAAAAAATAAATACTGTCTGCAAGAAACCAGCTGGTTTAGAAAAGTTTAGTATGTGAAGATAAACTAGAAATTATCTTTATATTCTAGTATTTTCAGCACTCCATAAATTCTATTACCTAAATATTGCCACACTATTTTGTGATTTAAAAATTCTTACTAAGGAATAAAAACTTTAATATACGGTATGATATTGTCTAATAATTAAAAAAGACAATGGATGCTCAATTAGGTTTGAGATATCTATGACTGTAGGGATACAAATCACTGAGGTTCTCAGATATACAGCTTTTTTTGTCATTGGCTTGATGTCACACATTTCCAATCTCTTGCAAGCCTCCAGGCTCTGGCTGTGTCTACCTGCTTGTTTCCAATGTATCTTAATGAAAAGTGCAAAAGAAAAACCTACCAATTAACTTGTGTGATTTGTTTATGTTAGACCCAATTTTCTATTGTTTTAATGATTGACAAGGTTTTCACTTTTTGTCTGTGACATCAGATAGCCTCTCTAGTATGGTCAGGTGTTTCTCTTTCACTGGGTCTTGTATAAATAGATGATCACATAGGGGTGCTTAACATGAGAGTGTTTTGGCTTCTTAATTTTTATAAAATAATTCTGTCATGGGACTTTATCATGGAATTCCAGGATCAGAAATAATTTCTAGACTTTTCTCAAATTTCCATTCAAATCTGTGACATGATACAAACTGAGTGAAGGATTGTCAGCTTTTAGTTTCAGGAATGTTCTTCACAACCCCCCTGATTTTTGAAAAATGTTTAAATGAGAGTCACATTGTATAAGATGTAGAAAAAGTGCTCCCTCTGCTGACTTCATGGCAACTGAACTGCAAGTCGTAACAGTGTGGAGCCAGGAGCCAGGGCTCATCAAGGCCCCTGCATTTCCTCATAGGAAAAAAAGAAAGGAAGCCCAGAGATATTAAGTATCTTCCCAAGGTCACAGAGCTACCTAGAGTCAGCACTAGCACTAGTGGCCAGCTCTATCATATCCCTCAGTCAGTCAACTACTTCCCATTGCAGTATCTTGGACCAAGTAAGCTGAACTTGATTGAGCACCCTTCATGAAGCTTTGTAACAAACCATAGAACAAAGGAAACTGAAATTAACACTGGAAAACTATGTAGGATTTTCGAGCATTTTTAATTTATTGAACTTTAGAAAAATTATCTGAATCAGAATGGGAAAAACAGCATTTCAAATATTTTGAGCTATATTTTGATGCTACGACTGTAGTAATATTAGTTTCATAACCAAAAAGGATTAAGAGTGAATCAGAGGATAATACAATGTTTTTAGCATGTGTATAATTTTGGTAGAATGAGATAAAAAAACTTCAGAGTTGGGCCAGATTTTATAAGTCAGTTATTTAGTCCAAGTACCCATATGGTAACATGATAAGATAAAGTTAGAACAGAAATGCAAAAATAATATTATCTATATTGATTCTAAAATCTGAAAAAATGTTATTCTGGTCATTGATTTATTTTAATGAATTAAAAGGCTTAAGTCATTATAATTCATTAAAGAGGCTTCTATACTTGTAGTGGTGAAATTTCAGCTAAAATGATTTTCCAACTTCAGGCAAATATGAATCTTGAGTCAGTGTTTTTATTAACATAGTAGTATACTCATAAAAATTTAATTTTACATACATATATTTTACGTAATATTTTAAAAGATTAATTTTATATACACATATTTCTTAGCAAACTTTATATTGAATTGAAAAAAAGGCCCTTCCCTCCCCTCCAAAGAGCTAACCTTAAGCACGTTTTCAAGGCACTAGAAACAATACTTTAATAGCTATGTAAAATTTGGAGTTTTAGTTCCTATCATTGTGAAACTATTTTTCATTTAGTTCCCTGTTTCTGGCCATCCAGGCCATGACTTTGGTTACTGCCGGTCACCTGAGATTTGTTCAAAAGTTATGTAAAAGGAGGCTCAGCCTGCTCCTTTCTATGTCACAGGTCAATTCTTAACCTTTCCATGGAAAGTGATTGCCAGCAGAGCCTCTGGAGAGACATGGCTGGGCAAACACACGAAGGATTTTACATTAGCTAGAAATGAACGGAGCTCTCATGAATGACTTAAGACCATTATATTGCCAAAAGCTGGCTGTAGTGTTGTGATCATGGTATTCTACTTCAGGTAGCAACCTGATATTTTTCATTAAACAAAAATTCTTAACCTATTGGGACCCTCAGCTCAATATATTTAGACCCATCCATTGTTCTCACTGTTATTTTAAACAAGTTCAAGATGGATTTACAGTGCATGCTAAAGTCCCATGGAAGTTCCAGTTTTTCATAGAAGAATTTAAGTAAGGGATTGATGTGGGAAATTATCACATATTTTCTGTGATTAAGATGGGATTTATACTAGAAAACATGCACAGCATGTACTTTAAAAATATGCTATTCTAGGAGTTCTACGTTTGTTTTAAAATTGGGTTTCTTATGCTTGTTCAGAGATTCCATATTGAAAACTCCAAACAAATATAAAACCACCTTTTAAAAGTTGATATTTTAAAATTCTAAATTCAGTGATGCCTAGTTTGTCTGACACGAGGGACAAACGGTCAATGGTTTAGAAAACTAAAGCTTCTATGTTCAAATGCCAATGCTGTTTTTCATTTTTGAATTTTATTTTAGTGGAAAGCATACTAAAATGTACTACACATATCCTCTAAAATGTCTTACCCTGGACATACTTAACCTTTCTCAATAATTCAGGGTCAGCATTGTAAACATCATTTTTGCACTATGCGTGACATCTGGGAGTAATTGCACCTGCACCAAATTCTTTTTGAGTTCTACCTGCTTTTTATAGGGTTTTTCAGTCTCTTTACGCACAGCTAGCCTGTCAGCTGTCACGTCTTGAAGCCTCAGAGTGCTTCCTCCAACTCTTATCTAATTTGCTACCTCTGACTTACTGTGGGCTGGGAAACCATTTAAACACACTACCACACCCATTTGAAATGTGCTAAAATTAGAGTAAATAGGCTCTGACAGAGGACCTGAAGGGTTGTTCTACAAGTAAGTTGTGTGAATTTGTAGAATCTGTGACCTTTTCTTCCCAAAGCTTTTTGTTTCCTTTAACTTCCAGATTCTCAGCGATGCTTCTTATTAGATTACTTATGCAAAAGCCTTCAAATACATTATATATTTCGCCATCATTTTATTACATAAAAATAAAAGCAACTTGCTAATGGTTTTAGCCCACAACTAACCACAAAGTAAACAAATTTGCATGTCAGGAATAAGTTATTTGATTGGATGAACACTTCTCTCCAGTTGCTAAGAATAGGGGATGGAGGGCCACTAGTGAAACTGATTCAGCATTTTGATTTAAGGATGACTCTGGCTCCTGCTTCTAGTATGTAACCTCTTCTGCCTCTGGGTGTTGGACCTCTTGGGTGGCCGGTAGAATGCAAAAGTATTCTGGGGAACTGGCAGGATGGGTGTGTAGGCCCAGATGCTGCCTCTGAATTTAGACACACCCATGGTGAGAGGTTTCAGACTCCTCATTGATTACAGCGTATTCCTTTTTTTTGTTGAGTTTATGTATTCAATAAATGGTGTGGGGATTTGTTTTGCTCACTGTATGTGAGGTGCCATGGTAAGTACTAGAGAATCAAAGATTCACCTCTGAAGATCTCAGAGTCTAATGTGGGTGATAGACCTATACTAAAATAAATTACATTGCAACACAGTAAGTGCTATCCAGGGATGGATACAATGCTGTGCTGGGGGTGGGAGCTACTAATTGCATCTAAGTGAGGAGGCCTAGGTGAGAAGTAGCTGGGTTTTACAGAAGGAACAGCAGCACAATAAGGGCATGAGGCCATCTCCAAAGAGAAGGCTCTGGCCTACCCTGCTCCCGTGTTAAGCTGCACTACAGTTTATGTATGTTTTTACAGTAAAATTCTCTATATTTAGACATGACATTATCAGGTACATAAATCATAGGGAATCAATCTACCAAAAAAAAAAAAATCCTCCTAGAACAAACACACGAATTTAGAAAAGTTACAGAAGAAAACATCAATAAACAAATATACATTGTATTTTTATACACTAGCAATGAACAACTGGAAATGAAACTTTAAAAAGTGCCACTTAAAATAAGCTGCAGTGCAGTTTAATTGGCTATATATGACTTGAGGTCTGAGCAAGGATTTCCTAACTTGCCAGTCTCTTTAGAATTTGACTGCTATCCTGGCTCTCACCAAAATCGCCTCCTGAGGATTTGAACCATGGGCTGGGACTAGGGAGTCATGATATTTCCTGCTGCAAAGTGAGACATGATAGTATTCAGAGCATGATCATATCTCATGTGGTAGGGGAAAAAACAGCAGTACCTCATGAGCAGCTCTGTGTCTCACCTCCTCCATCTATCTGTTTTACAAAAGAAACTAATGGTGACTTCTTTCCCTTCGAGTAAGGGAGTGAGAGAGACAGAGCAGCTCTAGAGGGAAACACGGCATCCTAAGGCCTGACTTTCAAAAACCTTTGGGAGGAAACTGAGGCAAAGAACTAGTCCAAGGTCACATAGCTCAGTAACAGAACCAGGATTTTTGGTTCTGAGTCTAGTGCTCTTTATACTTTTATACCAAGTTTTAGTAATGGGGAGGGACAGGCTGAGGTTTTCTCACGGAATGAGTTGAGCTAGTCCGTGTGCGATCCTCAGAGGCAGAGTATACTTGACGGTGAAGAAGGAAAGATGATCAGCATAATAACCTTGCTAAATTATGGCATAGAGTATGCAATCATTTTGAGAGAGATGAAATTCTAGGGAAATAATTTTCAAAGTCTCCTACAAACAACCATACTATTCCATCGTCCACTCACTTCGGAGACATCCAGAAATGTGCCTTTCCTAGTTAGGAAGTCTCCACATTATCTGGTGGGCTTTCTACCTCTCTATACCTGTGTGGTCCCGTTGTGCCCCAGAGGTTCTCTATAACAGAAGGGATCACGACCAAAATAACCTATGAAGCTGGTCAGAGAGAACCTCTAGAATCCAGCAAGCTGGAGACAGGGCCATGTGCTACAGTTTTTATATGGAGTATTTTTAGGGCACTGTGAACTTTAGCTAAGGTTTCAATTTTGGAGCCTTTTCCATATGGGTGTGCACACAGAGTATTATGTGCTTCACAACAGAGATATTGAATATCTGCCAGATAGTTTAATACATGTTGCTTCCATATGCGGCCTTGCGGCTTCCTCACTGTGATTCGAAAATTAGCTGTAACAGGAGGGACTTCAGTCTGGACCCAACTCCTGCCGACCTGTAACTCAGAGCAACCAGAAAAACTCTTATAACATAGTATTATAAAGACACAGGATTCTAAGACACCTTAAGCAGGACTTAGTTTTCAAATATATATTACCTTGAACAAGGCTCATCTATCTGCATAGCCATATCGTGGCTGTGTAAACCGCGTATGACCAGAGAGGCACCTGACTGCATGCACCCCCGAAGGTCTCTGCAGACCCAAGTGGGTGCGATAATGGATTGATTTCTAAGCTGTGCCTGTTAAGATCCTCAAGCAAACCAACCCTTGCTCCTTGAATCAACGTTTGAGCGCTGCATGGGGGGCTGGGGGGAAAGGAAGGAGGGGGGAATAATGTCATCAGCCTTGAGCTCTTCAAGGAGCTCTAGGATTGGAGAGAGAGGAGAAGCATTCTTAGGTTGCCTAGCGATAAAGCTGCAGATGATATCATTCTCCCCGAGGCCGGCCTCCCCGCCCGGTTTTCCTTCCTCCCTTCCCCGCTCCAGTCTCCCACGCCTGGGTTCAAAGTACAGCCGCGCGGGGTTAGGGAACCGGGGCCGGACGCGGCGCTGTCACGTGCGTCCGCACATGTCTGGGCGCACGCTGAGCAGCACGTGAGAGGGGGCGGGGAGGGGCGGGACCTGCTCGCAGCCCTGGCGCGTGCGCGCTGCCCCTCTGCGTCCGTACTTCTCCAGACGCTGGCCCCGGGACGGTGGCTGGCGGCGGGTTGGGGGACCGCGGGGACCGCGGGGACCGTCGGGCCGAGGGCGGAGCCGGGGCGGCCGGGCCCGGGCGCGCTCTCCCGACAGCCGCACCACACCCTTCCCGGCTGCGTCTCCGCAGGCCAGCCCTGGGTAGTCATCCCTCCCGAATTAAAGCTGGCTCTGACTCAGGACTCCTCGAACCATTCTGACACAGCAGTTTCCAAGGGGCCCTCCTGGGCGCGGGTTACGCGAAGGTCGACACCCGCCTCAAAAGGGCCTTGGGGCGGGAACTCCGGTCTAGGGCGGGCCGCGGCCGGGCGGGACCCCAGCAGTCCCTGGGCCAGGACTTGCGGGGAAAACCCCGGGCGGTGGGTGGGGGTGGGGAGAAAGTCCTAGAGCAGAGTTCTGGGCAAACGAGGTGTCGCAGTACCGGTTCTCGGAGGCATTACATCTTTTCACTGGTCTCACATGGAGTTTTGCAAATTGAATTCCCACTAATTAAGCACTAGGCCATTTAATCGTGATGAAATACAATACACTGTGACTTTCCGTTCAAGGCGTAAAGTAAGAGAAGTGATTTTATGGCACTAACGGATTTTGCATGGTGCAGTAA